GTAATTGTTCAATAGCACACTTTTTATTTCAAATTATCGGTCATATTTAAATACACTAACATTCAATTTTCATTTAGTTGATCAATGACCACCGTAGTGTCTTAGAAGAAACTATGGCCGGTCATATAAGACCAACATGGCCACGGCATTATTTTTATTATTCAAAGAATATAATGGCAAAATAATAATAAATTAATGTTAATAAAATATTGTAATTATTCAATAAGACACTTTTTATTTCAAAGTATCTTTTATATATCGGCCATAATCAAATACACTAACATTCAATTTTCATTTAGTTAATCAATGACCACCGTAGTGTCTTAGAAAAAACTATGGCCGGTCATATAAGACCAACATGGCCACGGCATTATTTTTATTACTCAAAGAATATAATAAATTAATGTTAATAAAAAATGGTAATTATTCAATAGCACACTTTTTATTTCAAATTATTGGTCAGATTTAAATACACTAACATTCAATTTTCATTTAATTGATCAATGACCACCGTAGTGTCTGAGGAGAAACCGTGGTCAACATGGCAGTCCAAAGTGTTAAACGAAAATAGAATTTGAGAAGAATTGAAATAAAATTGAAGAAGAACAATATGTATTCTTTTTTTTTTTTTACAATTAAATCAATGCTCCAGTATATTAATCAACGTCATTGATAAGCTCGTAGAGACAAGAACAAAGTCGATATTTTATTATTTTTATCACGAAAGAAGAAAGGGATGAATTCTTGCGTACACTATGAAGAAAAACTATCCATGACTAGATAAAACCCTACTCGAGAAAAATTATTTATAAATTGATATATATATATATAATATTTAATAAGAAAATAAAAGTATTGATAAAACATTTATAATTTGATCAATAATCAAATATATACATACTTACTCTTAATCAAAGAGATTTTATTTTAATTGAACATAATTTATAGTAATTAATAAAAATATATTATTATATTAATCATTTTAATTTTTATTATTTTATTACAATAACAATAGATTATAACAAACACATTCCCGAGTGTGATGATCATACGGTCAATGAACGGTTTTACGAGATTACATTCTTATCGTAACTTCTTCAACGTCATGTTATAAATAATCATTATAAACAATTTTATATATATATATTAAAATTACAATGTGATAGTTTATTGAAATGTTAAAATCGTTATACGTTCACATAACAAGTAAGTCGTAAGCAGAAGATTAAATGGATGATGGGGTGGTGGTAACCAGCTGGTTTTTTCTTTCTATTATTAAATAAGATCCGTTATAAACTTCTTGGAAAAGTAAAATCTATCACCAAGGAGACCTACACTATTTCACTTAGATATTTCGTATTACGTTTTCTGTGAGGAAATGTTGAGAAAATACATACATACATACTGATCTACGTTAAAGGAAAGAAATAACGTTGGTATTACAACTTTTACTTTGGATTATGTGATTTATCATCGAATGTCCAACAAAGTTTTAGTAGTAAAAACAGTTACAAACTAATATATATATATATATTTTTGTTTTATTTATATTCTCTCTTTATATATTTTTGAAATATTTAGTTCCATTTATCAAAAACTGTTTAAACTTCAAACTTTTATCACTGGAATTATCATTTTATTTTATTGAACAATTTAATACGAGGACGTTATAATATTTTATATATATATTATATAATAATATATATTTACATAATATATAGTATCATATAATTATTATTATATATACTGTATATATTAGTATAGTATAGTATTTAATAAAATATTTATTTAAAGTATACTATAATATATATATAAGAAGAGTTAGTTAGTTCCCTAGGGAACTAATAACAGCAACAATAATTTTCCCTAGGGAAACTAGCAGCAAACCAACAACAACCCTTCTCTTTCTTTCTTTCTTTCTTTCTTTCTTTCTTTCATTGTGGAACTTCCAATTTTGTTTGTAATATCAAGAAGAAAAATACATTTAAAAAATTGTTTTTAAAAGTATATAATCAGAGGATAAATGGTGACACAGATAACTCTGCTTAGCAAACGTGTTTTAATTCAAGTGTTCGTTAAAAAGAACTCCCTGGAACTCATCAACTCACTAGTCGCATTTTTTTTTTTTTTTTTCTTAATTACGCTAACACCACCAGCCAGCAGCAGCGTCGTCACCCGATCGTTGCTAAATCGTGTTGATGATGCGTAATTAAAATTTATCTTATAAGAACATGAGCAATGAAAAAAACAAAAACTACCCTCAGACACTTTCTGCATAGTCGAATAATTTTCTAGAATTTTAATCAACAAACGAGTTATACCTGTAAAACAACAAATACATTTGAAAAGGTACATCGAAATAATATTACTTTTACCTATAAGAAAAGAACAAAAAAAAAACCATGAAAAATTGAGCATGGACAACGAGTATTGTTTCTCATAGTTCAACTGGTTTAGTTGGACAACGTTGGTTGTCCTCTAACTGTTTGTGTGTGTGTGTGTGTGTGTGGATTCGTGAGAGTCGGTTTAAATTAGCGAGTCTAGACGCTTCGGAAATACCACGTGCAACACGTCACTCCCCATAACGCGTCGTCTTTTCAATTCTAACGTGTTCCTCCATAGATTCCTCTCTCCTATCCAGCTGTTCTTCTCCCTATGATCTCTGTTTTCATCGATTGTACAAAATGAAAGTTTCGATAGTTAATAAAAAAAAGAAACAACACAAGACAGTGTGTGCTGCTGTTGCTGCTGCTACTTCTGACCAAAAAAAGAAAAAAAACAACTCAATCTCGAGCTGCAAGTATTTAGAATCGATCGTAAAAAAGAAAAAAAAAAGAACTAATCGAATGACTTCTATCGATCGTTCTTTTCGTAATATATACTTCCTTCGTGGTAACTTCCGATAAATATAGATTTTGTTTTGATTTAGGTGGTGGTGGGAGGAATCATAACAAAAATTCAATGAACGAAAATAAAGTACTTTTTTGTTTTCTTCTTTTTTTATCAAGAAATTAACTTTAGTGTGTTGTTAGAAATTGTTAGAAATAACACGTGACTTTTATCAAAACAATTTTATAATTTACAATATTATAATATCGTAGTGGTAGATAATGGGATGATATCGAAAGAGAAATGTGCACCCTTATTGTTATGTAGAGGGGAGGGGAGAGTTAGGACGAATGGAGTTTGTTCCCCCCACCTACCTCCCACTCCCCACCGCGTAACGCAACCACGGCCAACGGAGCATCGTCCCGTGGTCGTTAACGTGTACAAGTGGCGCCTCGTGGCGCTGCAGTCGCGTGCTCGCCCTCAGTGTTCTCGAGTCTTGCTAGGTGCGTGTTTCGTGGTATGGTTGTGTCGTCGTTGCCGTCGTCTTTTTCTCCTCCACCTCCTCCTCTTTCTCCTCCTCCTCCTCCTCCTCCTTTTTCTTCTCTTCCTCTTCCTTCTTCTTCTCCTAGTCATCATCATCGTCATCATTATCATCATCATCATCATAGTTTTTCATCAGTGACTTTATACTCCTCACATCCCAACTCTCTATCCATCTATCTGTACGTCTCCCACCTTGACCATTTCTTCTTCTTCTTCTTCTTCTTCTTCTTCTTCTCTCCCATGCTCGCCGCTGCTCACACCGTCGTCGTCTTTCTGTTGTTGGTACTCTCAGCAGCAGCACCACCACCACCACCACGTTTGTTTGTACGCCACGTTCCGTCGTCGTCTACTTCGTTGTCGTGCGCTTGCAATTAAATTCCGTCGCGGATCATCCGTCCAGACTAAGGAAGACGTCTGAGAAAAAACATACTTTTATTGACGTGAGTGAGAGAGAGAGAGAGAGAGAGAGAGGAACTCTCGTGTATTATCTTACAAGATTTGCAACAAGTACTACGTGTGTCAGTAAATACAGGAATAAAAAAAAAAAGAAATGGACTCTCCTCTCTTTGTGTTTTTCTCGCGCGTGTTTTGTGATGATGATAATGATGATAATATTATTATGTGCCAAAAGTGGTGGTGGTGGTAGTAGTGATAGTGGTGGTAGTGTCTGATGTGTTTTTTACTATTGCTTTCTGAAGTAGCAAAAAAAAGTGTGTGGGTGTATGAGTGCGTGCGTAAGTGCGTGAGTGCATACGTTCATTGGACTCTAGGCTTCGTATCGTGTCGTGTCGTGTCGTGTCGTGTCGTTGGAATTGTCGTCGTCTTCCTAATAAATACCAATAATAATAATAATAATAATAATAATAATAAAATAGTAATAGTAGTCAGGCGACATCGCCCAAAAAGAAAAAAAAAAACAAATCGACCATGAAATTCTGCCCTCCATTTCTGTGCCTGCTGCTACTACATTCGCGTCTGAATTTTTTCTTCGAATAATCCGTCGAATTTTGGAATATTATTATTATGACTATGACTGCTACTATTACTACTATTATTAATACTACACAACTATTTCTACCATTTACTACTACTACTACTACTACTACAAAGAAAAAGTTGTAGTCGGTGTAGCGCGTGTTCGACGTCGTGTTACGTCCTCGTAATATTCGTAGTGAGTATGCGCGTAGTATACTCTGTGTTTATCTATCATCGGCGCGCCCTCTTTTTCCCCTCTCTCTTTCTCTGTCTCACTCTCTCTCTCTCCCTCTCTCTCGTTTACTCATTCTAGCCGTTCTCTCACCTGCCGACATTACCGCCGGCACGCAGGTGTCTCTCGCTTGCCGGCCGTTCTGTTGTCTTCTTGTGTTGTGTTGTTGCCCATTACTGAAAAAGAAATCGTAAAGCAATAAGAGAGAAAAAGATAGGGAATTGAAAAAAAACACGAAGATTACCGAAATTTCACGATCTCCCTCCCCTCTTATGAGATGATGTTCCTTTTTTTCTTATAAAAATTCTCATATACACATTTCTTTTATTTTTAATTTTGTTATATTAGATTCTTTAAAATATATTTAAAAAAAAAACAACCCAAAGGCAATATTTTTTTAAAACAATTTATAATGTTTTTATGTAGTAATATTTCGATTGAAAAAAAATATAAGAAAAATTTTGAGGTTAGAGGATGTTTTTTTTCTTTATGGTTAGGGGTATTGCACTCAACTTGATTCTCTAAAAGTGTCCATTCATCTTAATTATTCTTTAATTTTGACCAATCCTTGTTAATCATTTTTTGTGTCAATCTTTTGGAATGAGTTTATTGGATGTTAATCAACCCCCTCCTGCCATAGCCTTTTCATTGGTCACATGATTTTTTAAAAAACTACGTAAATCATAATAGCGGTTTCTCAGTAGCATGGTCAAGGTCTTCATTTTTTAAACCTTTGTGTTCCCTTTCTACAAATATTTATAAATTCTTAATCGCATTTCTTTGACAATTTTTAACTAACGTTCATACAATTGAGATTAATGTCTGTGTGTGTGTGTGTGTGTATGAGTTTATTATATTCGTATGAGAATAAATATTTCTATAGACGAGATGATGCGTCACGTTAAACGATTCTAACGTGAGCAGCACGTTAAGATCGACCAATTAAAATCGTCGGATGGTTGACGTTTATAAGTAAATCGTGGAGGGGGTTTAGAAGGGGTAGTGGCGGGGAAGGTAAAAGGCGTGGGAGCAAAGGTTCTTTGCGTCTCTCTTCGAGCATTATAATACGAATAAAAGACATCTTTGTGTGTTGTATTGTTGTTGTTGTTGTTGTTATGCACAATGCAAACTATTCATATAACGATGACTATGACGATAATGATGATGATAACTACTGCAACGGCGACACCTTGGCCGATGGTGGTGTCGATTAAGACGATCTTTTTTCCTCGTTCCAACTACGTAGTAGAAAAACTAGACTCTTGAATACTTTTTTACGATTTTGGTTTCTGATATTTGATTAAGTATCATCTTTTTTTCTTTTTTTTTCAAGGACATTTTGTATAGGGGAAATCTATGTGTGTCGTAAGAGGTGAGACATTAAAAAAAAAACCAAACAAGAAGGGCTAACGTAATTGTCGATGATTCGTAATTGTTTTTTTAAATTGGGAGTTTTGAATTAACAAAAACGACGACGACGACAACGACGACAACGACGGCAACAAGAAAACAGGGGATTTTAGTGAAATTTTGGTTGAAAGACAAAGAGGAAATAAAAAGGGATTTAGAAATTGAAAGAAAAAATAGTTGTAGTGCCAAAGAAGAAAAGAAGAAGGAGGAGAAGGAGGAAGAGGAGGAGGAGGAGGTGGAGGATATTTTCTTGGCGTTGGATAGTTTGAATAATCGAAATACCGTGGAGTCGCAAGACAGCAGCAGCAAGGCGCGACGCGAGCCGACCACTCGAGCAGCCCTGCGTCAGGATGTTCCCTGTGCTATCGAAAAGGGCCATCCGGTAGCTCCGTTGCCGGCTCTCGTCGCGATCCTCAGACCCTGGAGGAAAAAGAATCGCAGAGGACAACGTTCGAAGGAACGATTGGGAAGGGAAATGTCGGTCAGGGTCAGCGGTGTTTATTTGGTGCCAGCTTCGGCTACTAATACTAATAACGAGCCCAATAACGAAAGAAGTAACAATAATCTTGAACAACAAGCTCAACAACAGCAGCAGCAACAACAACAGCAACATCATCATCACCATCATCATCATCATGATCATCAACAGCTACAGCAGCAGCAACAACGGCACCAGCAACATAGACAACAACAACAACAACAACAGCAGCAGCAACAGTATCACCCTACCAAGACCGTAACCATTGCAACTGCACCTCAACGGAGCAATAGTCTCGATTATTTAAACTTCGAAGAGAAACGACAAATCATAGCGTCTTCCTTATCCCTAAGCGATTTTCTGGCTCATGGGCCTGCCGCTGCAGCAGCGGCTGCGGCCAAGGAAGTTGCTGCTAATACCGTCATTGGTAAGTACCACAAGGAAGACAGAATAATACTCCAAAGAATTTCAACAGACGTTGATAAAAGCTCGTCGTCGTTTCCGATTGACCGTGCCAAGAAAACACCTCTCTGTTGTTTTTTTTAATTTTTTTTTTTTTTACTCTCTTGCATTTATCGACTTTCCAGGAACGCAGTTTCGTTCCACGTTCAAATTACTGACATTCCATAGACAAAGACAGTAGTGTGGTAAACGATTATGCAGTTAGGACAAGAGTTGTGTTCCAGATCCAACCACGTTGAGGAAATTAGCTGAACGTATCCGTGTATCCACTTGTTTGCCCTTTACTTCTTTTTTATGGGTCCCTTAAAACCCTTTCTCTTTCTATTTTCTTCTTTACCATCCGAGTCGAATTTATGGAACTCGTGACGAATAACTATAAAGCAGAATATCATGACCGCGCCTTTGCAACGTTGCCGATTGATGATTGTGTATGAGTCAGGTATATATATGTGTGTGTGTGTTCTTTTCTAAGACTGTGTGATGATCGATGATATATCGGTTTGTTCTGTCGACACGTGATTATAGTAACCACGACGGCATTCCTTCGTTCTTCAGACGACCTCGAACAAGTCTCCTTCTCCACCTTTCTGGCCAATGTTTACTTCGAAATTGGGTGGTACATCTGACGTCATTTTATGACTTCCGACCTACGCAACGGAACTTTTCTTAGTTCTCCTTTTGTTTCTATTTTTTTTTTTATTTTTTCGATTATAACTATAGATAACAGTGGTTCCCAAATTATCCTACCGCCCCCTTTCTAGAAAAAATATTAACGCCATCTGGAAAATTTTTTTTTAAATTTTAATAGCAATTAATAAGAAATTTTATTATAGGGGTGTGTTCGTATTATTATATGTATATATTTTTAATCCATTAAACCGTTAACTGGGTGGGACGTATAAATACGTCTAACGTATTTTAGGTATTTTATATATAAATAAACGAAAAAATATATATTTCATAGTCTTTTCATTTATATTATAGTTTATTATTATTTATATATATATATAAAATACTATATATGTCATATATAAGATTTTAAACATAAATAAGAAAAAAAAAATGGCGTAATTAAAAAGGGAATTCCCCGATTAACAGGTTAATGTTTCAACCGCCCCCCTAAATTGCAGTAACACCCACCAGGGGGCAGTGGTGTCGCCCACTTTGGGAATCCCTGGCTAAATATCATTTATTTTTTCAATTTCTTAGATAAATGAATGATTTTATTGAAAAAAAAAAAAAAAAAAGAAGAAGTGTTATAAATTGCGATAATCCTTTCTTTTTATTCTCATTATCTCGATTAGATTAATCTCTCAACATAATTAAAAGATAATTGTTGAAGTTTGTGTAATAATTGTCATGAAGTTGCATTTTACAAATTGAAACAACTTTGTTTGTCTCAACGAATTCAATGACAATTGAAAGGAAAAAAAAAAATAAAAATAAAAATAGATAGAAGACAATATTTTTTTTCCTCTTAGCAATTAAGTTTCATCAGTGATATTCCGGTTAAATGATGATGATGATGATGATGACGCGTTTAGAATAAAACACCTTATAGAATCTTTTTCGATATTATTCCACTTTTGTAAATACACGACGAAGACTATGACTACGAGCAAGTATAACTGATCGGCCTAGAAAATGTAATTGTATAACATTTAATAGGACGAACGGTTGAGGAAACGATAAACTGTCGTCTCTCTGTAAAACGGGTTCAGAATTGACAGAGTACCTAATGTGGCAACGCTGCACGGAAATCATTCATTGAGTGAATGTACGTTCCACTCGTAGCATGACTAAACGTGCACACGCGCTCACACACACACATACGTTTATACATGTGTATAAATACACAGGAAACTTTGCTATTCCATCTATAGTAATCAACAACATCACAAAACTTCTAAAAACATACTAATTTCTTTAAAAAATTCAACATATTCACACATTACATGATAATCCTTCGAATCCCTCAAACTTTGATTTGAAAAATATTATTTTTTATAACAAAAAATACAATTTTTTTCCTCCCATTCTTTTTTCATTATGAAACATTTACACTTTGAAAAAGCTGGTGATTTTTTTTTTTTTTTTTTTAACAACGTTGTTCAACCTGAAAGTTATGATGTGGACTTTTTTGGTGATGTTGGTGGTGGTGGTGGATTGGGGGAGTGGTTTGTGAACTCGAAGAAAACGCGTCTCATGGAAAATTCATTTTCTCATTTCAAGATTCTGTGTAGCCAGAAAAAAAAAGTCACTTTATCAAGCAAAGGCAAGGGCCTTAAAGAAAAAAGGGGGGAAGAAGCTTTCCACTCCTGCCCCTTCTCCTTCCCCTTCCCCTCTCCTGCCACTATATACATGAATTACTTGTACGATATCTGTGGGCTTGTATCTGTCCAACAGTGTGTAGCTTTTTTAAAAACTCACCGATACAAAAAGTGTCTCCCTCTTTAATTCTTCTTCATAGTTTCGAAGAAAGGATTTTCTTCTTCCTAGGTTTTTTTTTTTTTCTTTTTTTTTGCTTTTGTTATATATACATTTTCCTTTGACAAAATGGTAGAAAAAACAGAGAGTGAGAGAGAGAGAGAGAAGGTTTTTTCAAGTTCTTGAAAGGGGATGGGGATAGGATTGGGAATGGGGATGGGGAAGGGGATGGGGATGGGGATGGGGATGGAAAGGTTCGATAATTGCAAATTTATTTCTCGTTAAGAGTGAAAAAAAAATACAAAAATCTTTTTCTAAAACACTAAATTGCAATTTTAACATGGAAAGTATTACAAACACTAATAACACTTCATTAATTATAGTAACATTTTGTTTTGGTTTGTTGTTTTTGCAGAATTTGGGAAAGAAAATATTTAAATAGTAACACTTACAGAATGTCAATTAATAATACTAATAAAAATAATAATAATAGTAATAGTAATAATAATAATAAAACCTACAGAGCTGGGGGTTGGGACACCCTGTTGTATATTTCGATTTATTTCAAATAATTATTATATAATAATATAATATAGTATAATATAATTGTTATATAATAATATAATATAATAGTTTTATATTTATATTATAATAATATTTATATTATATTAATTATTATATTAATTATTTTATTGATTATATATTTATTATTATATTAATAATAATATATTATTAATTATATTATATTATATTAATTATAATTATATTATGTTATATTATAATAATATATTATTATATTAATATTATAAAATAATTATTAATTATATATGTAGTATAATAATATTATATATAATAAGCAATAAATCGTATATATAATATATATTATAATTATTATAAATAATTATTTTATTTAACATCTATATTTTATATACTAATTATCTTTTATTAACACCTATATAATCTAGGGTCTAAGTAATCTAATAATATTTTATTTTATTTTTCTTTTTTTTTTTTTTGCAAAATTAAAAAAAGAAAATATATAAATAATAACACTTACAGAATACCATTTAATAATAATAATAATAATCAAAATAATTCAAACACCTACAGCTGGGATTGGTGGGTACAGAACACCCTGTTGTATATTTCGATTTATTTCAAATTTTAATTTGAGAAAAAAAGAAATTAAATAATAAACTTACAAAATTAAGAAATAAATTACTTATTCCAGTTGGGTTTTATTTTTTTGTATTTTTTTTTTTTAAATTTGAAAGTTTTGTTCAATTCAAAACTCACAGTTTTGATTTTATTTCTAGGAATAATGCCAAAAATATTATGTCATTTTATTTCTCATAGGGGAATTTCAAATTCTTGATGATATACATTTGAAATTGGTTCAAATTTTTTTTTCTTTTTTTTTTTTTTTTTTCATTCGATGAAACTACATTGACTAGACACATTGATACATGGACAGTTTCGACATTTTTTTTTTATTGGCACTTTAAAGAAACGAAAAATATAAGTAACATTTAGATGCATATGTGTTTGTGTGTATGCATGAGTTCATTGAGAGAAATATATCGAAAGATTTTAAAGTTGTGTTTGATGAAAGAGAATGAACTTTCTGACTCACACACACACACACACACACACACACACACACACAAATATCATACTCTTTCACATTTCTCTTTCTATTTCTCTCTGACAAACAGTTTTGTGAGTGATCCCAGCATGTTGGTATTTGCGGAGGTGTCTGGCAAGTGGCAAAAAGGAGGAGAAGAAAGAGGAAAGAGTAGGAGGAGGAGAGGAGGAGGAGGAGAGGAAGAGGAGGAGGAAGATGAACAGCTTCGAGTTATTTTTGACGATGTTCGATATCCGATCGCCATTTCTCTCATGACAGATCCACCAAGAGCAATAAAAAAAAAAAAAAAAACAATCAAAAGATTTTCCAATGTCAGTGCAATTAATAATCCTTTATCAAATTCATCAAACTCTTTCTACCGAAACTTCTTCATATCGAAAAATTGCAACACGAAATGCAATTTAACACAATTGAGGGCCACGTCACTCATCGATGACTGACACTGGACTTTCAGTTTGGGCCGTGTCAGTCATCGATGACTGACATTAGACTATAAATTTAGGCCACGTCAGTCATCTGTGACTGACACGTTTAACTTTTTTCAATACAAAGTAACCCCCGTGGCCTGACGAGAATTTCCCTAAAAATTCGCGTGGCGCTCTAACGTGTCAAAGTTTCTTTTACCTCGTAAAATAAAACATTCGATTAGGGTTTTTTTTTTTTTTTTTTTTT